GGGGGGGGGTCTTTATCGGGCTAATTACAAGCTCAATATTAATAAGCCAATTAGCTCCGACTTAAAACCCTGGAGATATTTCTACTTAGCGTTGAAGAAGGAATAAAATAATGAAACAGAAGATCGATAAAAATATTCAAATCTTAAAATAAGGGAAAAAGTATGTGAACAGAGAGTTAGATCTATGCTTACTAAATACAAAGAGATATTCCATTTTTAGAGGAGTATTTTGTTGGGGTAAAAGATGATACAAGGGATGATACACAAAGAGGTTAGCTACCAGTTGTAAACGACTACTTTATTGGCAATTTCACTAGGCATTTATCTAATCTAAGATTTTTTTTTTCATCAACTTTTCTCTTAATTCTCATGTATTACTGTGTTATGTATATGGTTTGAGAGTTTTCATGTGTATGTTTACTTCACGTTATGTCAATCATAGTCCATGTTCCTCTCATTGCGATGGGATTGAGACTCAGTACGTCCTCGAGGGGCTGTGGATATTCCCCTGTGTTTATCTTCTATCAAATTTCGGCTAATAAAGATGGAAAATGTGATTTGAGCTTAATTAAATTAAGAGAATACTCGGGGATTACACGTATGCGTATACGTGAATGGATATGAGTTTGTAGATGTACTATGGAAGCACGAAGAATGCGGAGAAGTTTAGCCTTCGATCCTTCGGGGGTGTCCCGAAGTAAACCGACGCGCGCACCAATCGAGGGATGATGCCTAGCTAGTCCCCCTTGCAATGCTTGCAGGAGACACCCGTTGGAACGATCGATCGGTAGACGACAGAGTAGGATAGAAAATTTAGAGGAGGATCACAGACCAACTAAAACCAACCCACCCACCAAATACACCCTCATACTCACAACCCCTCGAGGACGTGTGTTCTCTTCTGTACACAAATGCTTGCCTCGTTCTGCTTTCACGTGCAGAACGATCAGATGTCATTTTTTTCCCCCCCTTCCTGCTTATCATATCTTTAAACTTAGCCGTTCGTTCTGCAGGCGAAATTTGGGCGTGACACTTTATGAATTTTTAATGAGAGCTAAATATTAGTATCTTTGTTAATACTTCCTTAATTCTTTTGCCGGTGTGAGCCTCACATTTTGATAACAGAGTGATGTTTTGGCGTACGTGTAGAGTTCTGTTTGATTTGATAATCGTGGTAATAATGGCATTATGACAATACTACTAACAATAACAAGGCTTGATGCATAATCATAATTAATGATAGTTGTTGATTTTCTATTGCAAAATACGGTCACTGGTTATTATGAATTCACATGTTGCAGACCACTACAGTAATCGCCGTTGTATTTTTTTCTTTCAATTCTTTTGTTGAGTGATGGCAAATTCGTGAGGTTACAGGTTAATAAGAATTATCGACAATTCCGATTCAATATTCAATCACACCGACAAATTTCAAACGACTCGAGTGACTATTGTAAACACGGACGAACGACGGAACTTGTAACTTCAAGAATGGTGAGAAATAATAGAGTGAATAGAAAAAGAAGACTAATTATTTTCAGGAGAATCATCAACCAGCATGCTTCATCTAATGTAAACATTATACATAAATAAATCATGTATCACATGATAATTCATACTCTCAAAAACTAGTGGGTGGTTAGCGTTCAAAAAACTAAACTACGCATTACTGTTAACATTCGCTAGTCAATATTATTCCGATTGTAGAAAGAATCTTATGAATGGAGAGGTATTGTTATGTATTATTTTTCTTTGCTTTTCCATCAACAGGAGTTCAACGGGAATCTATAGATCATGAAAAAAAAATTGATAATGCAAATGTCTACCAATGGCCGTTGAAAATGAAAAATAAGACATTATCGTTAACCTACATGCTCGTCATGTCCAATGGTCAATGCACCTTCTACCATCGAAAATTGGAATTTTTGTTTCTTTCTCAACTAAGCACTCGTACACGCGACTCACACACTCACGCTTATTACCTCCTGTATATTACTTTTTTTTTGTTTTTTGTTTTTCTCACTCTCATGTCAGTCTTGCTCTTAAGCAAAGACCATAAGTACGTATCATTTTTTAATGACAATATTCAAGAATATGTGTTAAATATAAATTAATAATACTCGTGGGGTGTCGCGAGTAACAATATTTGTTTTTACTCTTAACTTATGACGAAATTTTATATTGAATATCACTCGCATGTTATTTCTCCTCCCAATATTTCGTGAAATTTCGTACTTTTAGAGATATTACTTATTATTTCTTCATTTTTTTTTTCCTTTCTCCCTTTGAACAACGGAAATGACGAGCCGCATTTTTTGCGTCTCTTAACGCGTTAGTCCATTAAATTATCATGATAATTAACTTATGGAGACATATACAAATGTATGTATACGCTACTAGTATTGTATGCTGCTTCATCATTATTTCCCATGTAATTAGTTGAGTAATTCACTTATTGCTCGACATATCTCAAATTCGACTTGTCTCATTTTTCTCACTCATAAAACTCTTCCCCTTTCTTATCTCATTATTATTTGGGCTCTCAACTGAGAACACATTTCAGTCCAAAATTTTAGAAAAAGATTTAATCATTATGAGTGTGAAAAAATCACACGTATTAACTTATTCACATATCTAATCTCTCTCTCTCTCTCTCTTGAGCTAATCTCAATGTGGATTTAATCATTAGAATAATTATCCTGTTTTCTTGGATCGCTTTCGCGCCACTTAAGTTACTATTGAGTATCCTTAATGATTGAATAACTATGAAATAGAATTAACGCGCGACCCGGCACACGCCAATCAATATAATACGTCCTGGTGCAATTTTCACGTACGCGAGATTATTTTTCAACTTCTAGTTTTTCATTATTTTCATTTTCCATTACCTTTTTTTACCTTCCTGTTCTAGTAATATTGTTCTTACACTAATTATTCAATCGATTTTTATCATTTTATTTTGTAAACGATGGCTATTCTTTCATACGCCATGGAGAGCAGAGAAATATTGTCTTCCATTACTCGAAAAAAAAATATATTTTTAATATGCATATTACTTCTTATCAGTAAGTATTGACAGCCCGTCGATCTTCTTTGTTATTCTCATTCTCATTAAATTAATTAACAAGAAGTCAATTTATTATTATCCGATTATTACGAAAACCATTGAAGTCTAATCGGGGGAAGCATCGAGTGGGAAAAGATTATTGTTTAAATAAAGGAGTATTGCGTTAATATCTGCCCAACTTACTCAAGAACACATTTCGGATTGATATTTCGGGGCATTACAGTGCTCGAACAATATCAACGAAATTGGATTATTCAAAATAAAAAAAAAAACAATCATTTTCCTCACCAACAATGCACCGCTGCGCAATTGGCGCGGACTGATAAAACGAAAGAAAAATAAAGATAAAAAATGAAAAAAAAAAAAATATTGTTAATGGCCGGAGAAGCCGAAAGAACGGAGCGCAGATGAAGAGAGATCGATTGAACATACATTTAATAAATGAAAAGAGTGTTGAGGACGGTACGAAGAGAATAATTTAAATAATAAAAAAAAAGAGTGAAAAAAAATCAGACTTGCATTCATCTGGCTTGACACCTTCCAAGATTGAATTTAACATGTTTATCCTCTTCCATTATTCCCGGGGTAATCTCTCTGACAATTGACACTGTCTACCCACTGCTCCAACTGTTTGCATTATCCGAAGCTCTCGAAGAAAGATGCAGGTGGCACTGACTTCCATTAATTATCCACATTTTAATGAAAATTTAAACGTACATTCCCATACCGTACATGGAGCCCCAGTCAACACCCTGGAAACTCGACATATCGACATTTGTCAGTGAATATCCCTGATAGGGATTGCCCGGTGGTGCACCTCCTTGCGGTTGAGCCGCTGTGGCTGTAGTAGGTGGTGCTGGCGCTGTTGGCGGTGCTGCTGCAACAGCCGTAGGAATTGGATATGGCGCATATCTGTATGCCGACAGTGCTGGATAGCTGCTTGCAAATAATTTCCCATAGCCCGCAACAGCATTTTGCACCTGTGCAGCAGCGGCTGCGGCTGCTGCGGCCTGGACCTGCGCTTGGGCCTGCGCAGCAACGAATTGCGATGCTGTGGCAACTTGCAACTGTGGCTGAGGCGCTAGACGAACACCCAGTGCTCCCAATACAACACGTTTGCCAAGTGCAAGGGCACTCTGTTGAACTGCCTCTTTTGGCTGAGCCTTTTTGCACTCAACTTTCTTATTCTTAATCGTGTGAAAATGAATTTCACAGACACGATCGACAACATCCTCATTCTCAAACGTCACAAATCCAAAGCCACGATGTCGCTTTGTTTGCTGATCCATCAGCATAACCGTCTCCTCAACTTTGCCAAATTGATTGAAGTAAGCCTTCACCTCGTCGCTACTCGTGTCTTGGCTCACACCACCCACAAATATTTTCTTCGTTCGATTTGCCTGTTTAGCGCGGTTCTTTGGTGTCGCGTGTTTCGGATCGATCTTCTTTCCGTCGAGTGTATGAATCGGACATTTCAGGACTTTGTCGACACTGCCAGGCTCAGCGAATGTGATGAAACCGAAACCTCGACTCCGCTGAACAAATTTTTATTCAACAAATGGTTAAGAATTGCATTACGGACGGGATTATTTTTTTCACCAGCAGAGACCGTGTATGACTGGAGCATGAATATTTACAAATGCACATGCAAATTACTGTAGCCTTTTGATGGAAACGCGAATGCAAATGGACTCGTAGCTGAGTTGTCAATTCGATATTCAATGCCCATGCACGGTCCCTATGATAATTAACATTTTACTTGTTATTACAAACCTGCGTGACTGGATCCTTCATTATTAATACATCCGTCACAGTTCCAAACATTCCAAAATATTCCCTCAATTTTTCACTACTCGTCTGCCACGACAATCCACCGACAAATAATTTGCCCGGTGCTGGATCACCACTGTTTGGTGTACTCCTGCCGGAGCTACCTGAATGGCTACCGTTTATTGGCACTAGGGCATTGTGAAAATCGTGGTCCAGTGCACCATTCGCTGCCTCCATGCCAGCGCTGAAACACAAATAAACAAACATTTGATTCATACGGGGTGGACTTGAACGTGCAACGTGGTGTTAATGAAACAATAAGAAAATTATAACTTGAATATCTATATTCAATAATTCCAAGTGCACTATAATTTGGTTACTGTGAGAGTTAAATATTTCCAAGCTTTCCAGTTCCACTAAACTAACAGAGCCAAATAATAAATATTTCAAAGACAAATGTACTTGAATGTATATTCAATTTGTGGAACATCAATTGTTGTTGCAGGTTACACCACTGTTGGCTTTGCAATTGGGTGCAGCGGGTGGAATTTTATTCATGATTTACCACAGAACATTTGTTACAACCATCGACGTACAGTGAGTTTATCTTCATTCCATTGCTCTCCATTATTACGTATCAAAGATGGATAAATAATCATGATTGTTGCGGTAGAATGGGTTATCAACGCTGGGAGATGGAGTCCAAGCCGAGATTCATTGACCTGAGAAATCCACGCTCACTCAAGGTAAAAATTTATATTTACAAATCTCAAACACACACGCCAAAGGAAAAGTAATATAAATCCATCGGAGGGGGAGGAAAACGAGAAAACGGGAATGATCGAATTATCTTCGGCTACCACCGGATAATCAGCTTCTTCTTCGCACAGCCAATATCCGTTGTCTCCTAGTATAACAGCAGGTGAACAAGGATACTTTCAGAGAAGTTAATTAACTTGGGGGAGCCAATAATTCATTGAATCTCTCTGATATTCCCATTATACATTCTCCCATCTGCCCTCGAGTGAAAGTGAATGAACGTAAAAAGAACTATTCAATTACAAGTGAAGTGAGAGGGCTTCAAACTCAGGCGTTTGGACAAAGAAATTGGTAGGAAAAACATAAAATGCAAAGTTTGAAGAGCCATCGTAATGTTTAGGGCAGTTAAAAGGAGGACGAGAGAGAGAGAGGAGGCTGGCCTAACGAAGGTCCGAGCGTCTTGAAGGAACGACGAGTGGTTGAAAAAAAAAAGCCAACTCGGACTCTTCTGAGTATACGAGACGACGACTGTATTCACTGTCGGGTTGATGTTGCGCGCACAGGCTGAACCGAGAGTGAGAGAACGCGCAGCTGGTGGATCAATACACCCTCCTTTACTCCGTACACCACCCCCTCAGTGAAAATCAGCCACCCCCCTATATACATTGGACTCGAGTTGCTACCTCGTTGGCCGCTTGGGGGTGTCGCGTTCGGCTCTCTTCTTGGCGCTCTCTCTCCCCCTTTCTCTTCCACAAAATGCTGCCTTCCACCCGCACATTCAATCCCCTCACCCTCATTTTTCAAACCCCCTATCCCCCACCCGAGTGATAGAGAGAGCGGCGCTCCCTCCGTTGCCAGGACGTTGTCGGCCAGTGCCAGTGGCTGTGGTGGGGGACGAGGTGAGGCAAGGGTGCGCACGGGGTGCGGAGGCGCCGTCGCCAGCGAGCGACGCAGTGCCGTCGGGACGCTCGACCGAGTCGCTTATCTAATTCACCTCAACGTTGACCACGGTGGACTACGGATTTGTTGGTTCAACAATTCTCTGTATCGCGATACGAATTATACTGCATTTTATTTTAATATTATTTCAAATATTTCATCACTGTTGCACATGAATAATATGTGACGGACAACCCCGTAGGTATGATAACAGTATTTTCGATGGACTTCAACTGAAGAGTTCGGTGTCTGGAATATTGTCCTATCACAGCAGTACGCCTTCTCAAGTTACTGGTGTGATGGGACATTGTCCTGGATGCTGTGACATAGCAACGTGAGACATCATCGAACCTCATCATTATAATAAACGAGTTGTAATAATCAACGAGTGTTAATCAGTGGTGGAACGTGTGCTCTTATTAAAAGTATAATATACCTTTGTTTCGAGGAGAGCCATTTAAAAATTGACAGATAATTCAAGTAATAATGACAAATCCTGTGTGTCTGGTAACGAATAAATGTTTTATCTGTGTATGTGTGAGAATTGAGAGAATGTTAGGCGGAGTTTGGGGACAAGGGAGAAGAGGAGTTAGGGAAACAACCATTTCACCCCCTACGGCCAACTCGGAAAAGCACGACTTTCACCGAGCACGCGCTCCACCCACATAAATTAAATGGATGGAATAATAGTGAGGAGGCGAAAGTATCCGAGTGCTCAGGCAAAATGAGGCAAAAAGGGGCTCCTGTTATCGAAGGGGGGAACACAGGGGGTTGCTTAATGAGGGTGCCCCTCATACTACTGTGTTCAAGAGCGTGGGCGAGAGCGTGGAGAGAGGAAAAATAATGACAGAATGAATGGAAAAACAAAATGAGAGAAATGGAAAAAAATAAGAAAAAGAAAGATGGAGAATGTGGCGCGTAGAAAAGGGCCACGTTGACTCGGACGTCGAGGTGAAACGTTTTACCGGTCGATGGGGGAGCAGCTTCCGGTCGATAGAGGCGCGGCGCTCAACCTCCCCACAATATCTCTTTGCTTAATTACAACTCTCAAAAATGCCTCGTTGGAGAGTAAATAAGAGGAGTTTAATTAATCCCGTTGGGTAACAGAGAGCGACGAGTGACTTTGGTGATACCCCAACCGAGTATTGATTTTGTGTCACATGAAAATCATGAAAATGTAAGGACTGTTGGAGGAGAACGAGTACAAAGGACACGTGTGGCATTTAAATATCTAGTATACGGGGTTTCATCATGTCTCAATGGATTCCACGTATTTTCTTAAATTATTTCTTCGATTCTTGGATTTTCGAATGCTCAATGGCACGATAATGTGAAGTGAAAGTAATTGTGGCTGATATTTTGTTCGCTGAGCTGAAGGGGTGAATTACTCTGGATGTACCAGAAATGGGTTGGTCGCACGAGCGGAGGGATGAAATGAGGAAACGTGTATTGAGGGGTGGAAGAAGCAACCTTTCGTTGAGGGCACGCCCGCTAGATGGCAACAATAGGCGGGTGCCCTCATGATTCAGTGGAAGGAGAGACTATTTTTCTGATATTTCCATTGACTTTTGCTAATCGACAGATATTTGCCATTTTATCAACGAAGAGTGGGGAATTAACATTTCAATGAGTCAATGAGAAGATACGTGAGAGACTTATTTGTGTAGCAATGCCGTAATTTTAGATGTCTGTAGATAGTAGAAATTTTGGAGATCAATGGGGAGAACAATTATACCGATAAATTGCCTATTTTTTCATTAAATATCAGTAGAAATGTTCTAGGCACTTGTATTTAATTGGATAGTGATTTCATTTTATTGGACAGTTTTATATTGATTTCATGAGAGACTTTGTACGTGTGGTTTATGATTATTTGATATTATAGATGTAGATGAGTATTCATAGGTGAATTACACGGAGAATATTCGATATCTGCTGATAATTTTGTTGTTGCTTGAATAAATATTTACACAAAAATATCACTCATTTTCATTAGCTGATAATATATATCGCACTTTGCTACAGCCGTTGAGGGTAGGCGTGTGTGTGTCACGTAAATTTATTTCAATTTTCACGGTAAAGTTGTTTATTAAGCACGCGTGAAAACACCTAGGTGAAATGGATATTAGCGATGTGAATGTCACTGTCTATGTTCCCTTTTTTTTCACCCCGACGAAAATTAGAGAACGCTCGTTAAAACCTAGTCGAAATATAAATTGAAAATGTCTCGCGGGATTTATATTTTCCCCTTCTCGTGAATCCACAGGGAAATTGAAAAGCGTTTTTCAACTCAGCGTGAGAAGGATTATTCTCGCGAAATTGAATCCAAAGCGCTTTATTCAATTTCTTAGTGAACCTCGTACGACGGCGAAGAGAGAGATAAATGGAGATGTTTCAAAATAGTTTGCCAATCTGATATACTTTTATTCTAAATCCCACTTTACTGAGTCACGTTTATCTGTCCCTTCCCATGCCCCATTTTTATTCACCAGTGATAGGTTATTGGATCAATACGCGGGGCTCCAATTAATCGACAGGGGTTTGCCCGCCCTCGACAGATGGTCAACGAAAAACACTACATACACGGGTGTGTAAATGCTCGGAATCAACTACAATAATGGCTTGTATAGAAACTATTCCCTTTGAACTTATTTTTCCGATAACGGGGTGACCTTTATTGAAACGGTGGGGGAATCCAAATGTCCTCGAGTTGAAGCTAATTACTCCGGTAATTCTTCGATCAGTTTTATCAGTTAACGTCCCCATTCAAACCTCTCGGGGTATTCAACGCTATTCTTAAACGAGAAGTTTTTAACAACTCCGGTAATGTCCCTTCATTATCCAATTCTCAAGAAACATTTTCTCCTTAATTAAGTTAATGCTCGACTCATTCTCATCTTCAAATCGCGATCAATGATTTTTCAAATGTGAAAACCCGACGATTAACGCCATCTCGCAGCGAAAATGGGGATCGCCACTCGTGGAAAACTAGGTAACCGTTGAGTTTCTCCGGAAAATCCGGAAAATGTTACCGTCCGCCGATGAAAGCAGTTTCTAGAACTGCTTTACCGGCTGTCACGGTTGATACTGACCGAACCGATACCTGCGTTGCCAGCTGGTGTGACTCGTTGAATAAACTCTCGGTGGGGATACTAGTCAAAATCGATTCGTTCGCTGAAACAATTATAGCGGCAAGAGGCCATGAGTTGAGAAAGCCATGAACATGGAATTCAGTTGTTTCTATGGGATTCTTAGGGTTTGCGGTTTATTCATTGTTGGATGCCAACAGTCGACCCTCACCCCCCGGGCCGTTCTACTCATGCCGGGAACCAAAGCTAATAACTTGAGGCTCGCCTTGCCCGAATAGAATTTCCGAACTAATTGCCAGAACTTTGATAACGTTTTGATTCGATTAAAATGATTCGATTTACGAATATACCGGTTAGAAATTCTCCTCTGCTGGCGATCGAAAGATTAATTCGGAAATTATGCCGGAAATTTCGGGGATAAATTCGAATGCGAAAGGGACAAATCGTTATGTAAATTTTCTTTGTGCAAAGAGCGAGTGCATTCTTTATCGCTATCTAAAATGGGCACTTGATCGGCGGCAACGTATGCCCAATCATGGATCTCTGATGTAGAATTCGTTAAGCTGGGAACCCTCGTTCACAGTGTGCCTGTCTTATCGCAACCATCGCTTTTGATTGCACCGGTCTGGTCACAGGGAACAATTTTTTTTAGTTTCTCAAGTGGATGACTAACGTCCCTCTTTATTCAACTTTTTTTCGCTCTTCGCGTTAGCCACGAAGGATCATTTAATATTTCCGGAGAACACTTGAGATGTGTTTATTCCGCGATGTTGAGTGAATTCGAGTGGTTCATATGCAACTCTATGAGATTTGCAATTGTCCTTTCATGTTCATCGAGTTGGTCGATTTATTTATCGTCATCAGCGTGAACTCTTTTTTGTTAATTTTCTTGCTGAATTTGGAAACAACGATACTTTATTTATCTACTTGTTATGATACTTTATGGAAACCTATATTAC